AAACAATTCAAGGGTAATCTGAAATCTCTGTGGTCAGATGGTTAGCATATAAATTATCAGTACAGAATATTAAATGTGTGAGAAAATAACTAAGGGTATTTTACAATGTAAAAGCAAAGAGCTGAAAGGAATGTATAAATGTAACATTTTGCTCCAAACTCCTTATGCAGTTCTCTTTACGATTATCAAAAAGAATGTATATAAAGCCCCTGCCCCTTTTCCCGCGGCTGTATATTTTTACAAATCAGTGACAAATACCCCACTGCTCATTAATTTACAGTTGCATAGAAAGGGAAGAAGAAGAAAAAAAACCCAATACTATAAAAACAACATCCTTGTCTTTGGGTATTCAGTGTTTTACTATTTCAAGTAGAACACGCAGTGAGAGCGAACAGCATGTTCCAAGGTCCCATGCAGCCTTCTGATGAAGTGGAACTTGCGATCGGTGGTTTGTAGAAAAGGGCTGTACTGCACATCAGGAAGCACTGGTCCACATCCAAATGAACACTTCACATTGCCTGTCATGATGAGAAATAACCACATCAGTACCATGTTAACATACACAGAAGGCTCTAAATCCTCTGAGCTCGGTTCAGTTAAGGACTCTGATGTCATTTTACAAAAAAACCCTGTATTTTAAAAATTGAGATGTATTGGCCCAAGACTCAGCAAATCACTGAGGCATGTAGTTAAGAGAAACCTAATTTTCCTGTACTGCAGTGTTTAACATTCTTGTTGAGTAAGGCCCAGAGGATGTTAGTCTACAGAGCAGTAAATATAACTTATAGACTCTCCATGTTCTGCACCCATTAAAAAAAATTTAGGCAAACTACTGTCCTATCTGAAGCCTAAGTGGTAAAAATGGAGAGTATATAGAGTCAGAATTTGAACTTGGCCCCTTCAAATGTGAAGCTTATTTCCAGGCTCCTGTTTCAGGATTCTGCTCCTGAACAAACATGCCTTCTCTAATGGTTCTGGAAAGGTAGGTTTGCAGTGAGACCATTTGTGAATCACCCTGTACCTAAAAAAAAATAAAAAATCACATGCTTTTTCAGGAAGATTAGTATTATTCACTGATAACACTGAAAGCTATCTCTGTTTCTGGTTAGAGGAAGGATTTCTGAAAAATGCTAGTTTAATTCACTAACTTAACAAGAGACTGAAACACAAACTCTGAGTTAACTGAGTGCAGGGCATGATTCATCCCATTCTCTTTAGAAATTCCTGTTTGGGAGGGCAATGCTACTATCCCAGATATTACAATCCAAGGAAGTGTTTGTGGAGCAATATTTCTGAATTTTTAGATACCCATTTTGGGGAGGTCTGGCCTTGCAAACTGTGGATTAATGGACAGAGTGAAGCAATTGGAGGGAGTA